CCCTACACCTATGAAACGCACTGTATATGCAAACAGCGCACATGCCAAAAACAAATGGTAAACAAAATAACTATCAATCGATGATTCTCTGGCCATTGCACGTATTTTTTGGTTGGCCAAATTAAAAGGCGTGCAAAATGCTGTTCATTCAGTCCCAAAAAAAAAAACCTCTTCCCCCTTCACTCCTCTCCAGCCGCGTCCAGTCCATTTGATACCATCCCCATGACAAGCTGCCTCTGTGGTAGTTAATTCCGAGTGTGTTCTGTATTTCAGCTTCTTTTTTTTTATTTTTTGGCGGTGGCAAATTTGTTATTTATTGCGTTTTGTGTTTAAGTATAGAATGGTGCTTTGTTCGGTTTCCCAAGGTCATGCCGCGCATTAAAGCAGCAGCAGCGGCAGCAGCGGCAGAGCATTAGAAACAAATTCTAAATATTGCATCACGAGGAAAGGAGCTGGCTAAGATCGAAGATGGGATACCCTTTAAGGGTTAAAGGGGAGATAATACGAAATCCATGCCAAGGAGCTGATTGAGATCGAACATGGGATACCCTTTAGGGGTTAAAGTTACTTAAATGATTATATATTTTCATATATAGCTTATATGGAGAGTAACTAAGGGAAAGTAAACAGAAAACAAGGCCAAGAAGCTGTCTAGGAAGCGATGAAGAGATATCCTCTAAGAGTTTCAGTAACATGATACTGCAGTCCCGTATCTATACCTTACATAGAGCGAGATTAAGGGAAGCTAACCCAAAATCCAGACCAAGGAGAAGTTTAGGAACCTCCTAACATGATTCTATACTCCCCATACATACCCTATATATACAGTCCTAAAAGAAGATAATACGCATTTGAAATACATTAATGGAACTGCGTTGGCAATCTCTACTTGCGCATTAATTCAATGTTTCCACATATGCGCTGTGTGAAATCGCAAGAAATCATGTTATATATACTATATAAACTATATATATATATAGAGAGAGAATGGGAGATATGACAATGCTGGGTGGCGAAAACACGTTATCAATTCAGTAGAGACTATCGCAATGATCGTCCCACAATTACTCATCTAACAGTTGGTCTCTTCTTTGCATTCATAAACTGGGAATCACCAGGTGATTCCTGGAAGCGAAAAAAAGAATCCAACGGAAGCAGCTATCTTACTTAACCCTCCCTCTACCATAACCAATAACCAGATCTTCACATTCCTTCTTGGAGCCCTGTCTACAGATTTCCTGATTTGATGCATACCATGGCTATGACTCATCCCTGTCGGCATCCTTGAAGGGGCCCTTCGTGACTGTACGCTTAGAGTTGGGATTCTGTTGGGATTCTGTTGCCAAGTTGCCAGATCGGATCGCATCGCGACTAGTATAGTAGTCACTGTTGGCCAAGTCATTAGCCTTTGGGCAGCAGTTCCTGGAAACTTCTGCGCACACTTCCCAGCTCCCAACGCCAATGACCGCGCTCAAGGCCATTTGGAGAGTGAGGGATGTGGTTGGATGGATGGATGGAGGGATGGCTGGCTGGCTGACTGGCTGGAGATATCTGTAAAACAGTTTTCCTGTTCTCGTTTTTCATTTCTCTACTTCGTTGATCCTGAACTGCTGAACTGCTGCTGCTGGACGACAGGTCCTGATCTTTCAGTCATTGACCTTTGCCTTTTTCTGGGTCTCTCAAGTGGTTTGTTTCAATGACATTTCCTAGGCGGTAGTAGTAGTAGTAGAGAATCTGACCTGAGTTATCCTAAACTGCAGCTGGTAGTTTCCAGCTCTCGAGTTCAATGACTACTACAGTGTACCTGCCCTTTGGGTTTAAAAAAAGGGATCTACTGTACAATGGAACTAAGTGATATATGATATATGATATGATTCCCTGACTTCTCCGCTCGTGTTAACCTTGATATTTGCATCTTAACATTTGGCATTTTGCGTTTGCGTTCTGCGGGGATGGCTCGTGCCGTCTTGGGAGTCTAAAATGGAAACCAAATCGTATCGCCTGACAACACAAAGCTAAAACGATTCAAGATCCCACAGAATTCCCAGGTCATCTGTCCTCGGTTTATTCTAATGGCGATTTAACAGAGAAACCAGAGAAAAAAAAAACAGAAAACCAAAATTGAGCAGATGCAAATTAGTTCATTGGCCGCCGCCGATGGAGAGTTTAATATAAATTGTTTCAAGTTGAAAAAAGTAAAACCCGCTGCAATTTGCATAAATATTTTTTGTTAATTGTTTCTGGACCCAACCGGATCATAGCTTTTGGGCTAAGAAATTTAGGGCATCCTACTATAGAAGAGCCTTCACCAGTTCCAGCTAAGAAGAACTGGGTCAAAGGCAGCCAAATTTCTAGGGTTTTCCAAAATCAGCTGACCTTCCTTCAACAGCGACGACAACAACTTCTTGCTTAACTCCATGGAAATGCCATCGTTGGTCTCGCCCTCTCTCTCTCTCTCTGTTTGTCTGTTTTTTGGAAACAAATTCCAATGACAATCCAATTCGATCTCAATCCAATCTCAATCTCAATCACAACATTTTCATATGCATATGAATATTTCGAAATTTCTTGACTGTGCGTATTTTCCGTATTCGAGACGTCAGCCAAACCGAGGGTCGGACCTTGTCCTTAAGCCAAAAGAACCGGCATAACAGATAAATATTAAAAAAACACAAAAACTAAACAATAAAAAAACAAACAAACAAAAGTCAAACTTCTGCAGAATTCATTACAGATGCATCCATTTGAATTTGAATTTTGAATTCGATCGAAAATGAGCTTAGAGTTGTCTTATATCTTTATGTTGATATTTTAATATCCATTCTGAACTTGAAATCAGACTGCAAGCCAGCTTTTGACGTCACAGAGTTTTAAGTCCAGAAACCCGTTGTACAGCCTGTGGGAGTAGGAGATGGAGGAGGAGTAGGTGTATCCCACTCCCAATCTCTCACTCCCAATAATCCCAACTTGAAGACAAAATAAAGGCAATACTATTACTACTACTACGACTACTACTCTCGAGCCCCCAAAGAGACTTTAGATCGAAGATAACTGAAGCTGAAGGCTTCGCTATTGACCCAAAATGCAAATTTTGCATCGGATTTTCGGTCTTTCGATTCCGCTTGGAACGAGCGCTGCAGACCCATCCGCGGATGTGGTCTCCAGTGCAGCAGCTTCCGCTTTGCTATCGTCTCTGGGTTTACTTTTTATAAAGCCGCCTATTACCTATATATATATATATATCTGTTCAAATATGATTTCCATATTGTATGGCAGTAAATCTTAGTTGGGTTTGAATATATATTGGTATATACTATATCTTGCAAATAGCTATAGGTTAGGTGAATGCTTTCACAGATTTGTAATTTGATTTTAAATCAAATTTTGAAGTAAGGTAAGAGATATCTGTGAATATCAGTAAGAATAAGCTAAATATGAGCGATCTATGAGGAAGATCTGATCGAGTTTAGTAAGCCATTTCATTCATATACTCCTATATATAAAACAGAAATCTATCTACTAACTTCAAATTCTAAGCTTAAATATCTACAGATTATGTTAAAAGATGGTCTTAACTTTTAGGCCTTTTTGAAAGATCTAAGTAACTTTTTTATGGTCATTCTATAACTTGGTAACATATATCATAGTAACCATATATATATTATTTATTCTTAACAAACTGTTAGGCTTCCTAAGCCTTTCATGAAGGTATAGATTGATATGCTTTGTATTTAAAGGAGAAATTTGATCACAGAAAAGGTTTGTATTTCAGGAAGTAATGAATATTTAATACGAACCTACCTATATATGCTCTATATATGCCTTATTTTTTGTGATTTTTGGTTTAACTAGGACTCCAAAAACTGAAATGTGAATGAAGACAGTTATTAGAAATCTTAAGAGAAGTTCTTATTAAACTTCTTGACTTCATTTTATCCACCTTAAATACTCATAAATATTTGATTATTTCTAATAAATCCTCTAACTAGTTAATCAATAGAATTCTTCAAGATAAAACCCATTAAGAAACCCCCCAAAAGATATTCCTAAAACCCAACTTAAGAGAAAGAGAGAGTGAGAGTGTTGACGATCTCTTGAGTCCACCAACTCTATCTTTTCACTCAAGCCGCGTTGCTCCAACATGTTGTTGCCCGCCTTTGGTTCGATGTTCGATCACTGCTGTCGGTTCGATCCAACCGAGTGATAGTGGCTAAAGCCAGCCAGCCGACCGACTGAGGCTGCGCTGTTTGAACTGTTTGGCGCTGCTTCGTCTAGAGAGCTGTGTGACCCCCGCCACTCCACCTCCACCTTCTTTTTTCTTCTTCTTCTTATTTCTTATATAGATTCTCCAGCTAGAAGGGGGAGGTGGTAAAGTAGAGAGGGTCGGGAAGGGAAACGGGGGGGAGTATGTTAGCCCGATGAGCGGGCCCTCTGCCGGCGTCGAGCCAAAAGCCAAAAGCCAGAGCGTTGAGACCCCAAAAATGAACAGACGTCGTCGGGCAACGCTGTTGAGCTGTATAGAGCTGAGGTTCAAGCAGCTAAAAAACACAGAAGCTGAACCAAAAGCTGAAGCCAAAAGCTGAAGAGCTCCGCGGGGCCCGCTGAGAAGCCGAATCCGAAGCCGAGACCGAGCGCCGCGCGCTTCGATCGCCGTCGATCATTCGTTTGGCGCTCTGCTCGCTCGCTCACTCGCGCGCTCGAAGCGGGCTCGAGTTGTTATAAAAGTGGCAAGGACATACGGTCGAGCCATTAGTCGAAAACTATAAACGCTCGACGCGAAATCGTCTCCGGGTCTCCGTCACCGACCATCTCCGTCTCCGTAACCAAAAATAAAAATACAAATACAAAATAAAATATAAATTAAATAAAATAAAGAAAAAAAAACATACACACAGTTTTTTTTTCTCCAACGTTACGAGCGAATATTTATTTTTTTCGGTTACTTTTTTTTTGTTATTTTTTTTTTGGAGTCCTATTTAAGACAACCAAAAATTAAGAAAAAATCAAATCAAATCCAAATTGCAATCAACAAAAAAACACAAAAACAAAAACAAACCAAGGAATTGAATTTTTTTCAAGTGCCAGTCAAAAGCGTTTAAAAGCAAAAGTGACCAATGGCCGACAAGCAAAGCAGTAAATAACAGTCCCATCCACGCCGAAGGGATTTGAGCCACAAAAGGGCGAGAGAGAGAGCGAGCGAAAGAGAGAGAGAGAGAGAGCAAGCCATTATCATTTCAAAAAACCAAATTAAAATCCGGACGAGGAGATCCGTTAAGGAAAGAAGGAAGAAGTTAACCATGCTGGCCGACTCGTACCTGATCAAGTTTCTGCTGCGCCAACTGCAGGTGCAGCAGGATGGCGATGCCCAGCATCTGTTGATGGTCTTCCTTGGCCTTTTGGCCATAGTTACCCTCCTACAATGGCTATTAAGAAACTATCGTGAATTACGAAAACTACCGCCTGGTCCTTGGGGCCTACCCGTTATCGGTTATCTCCTGTTCATGGGCAATGAAAAGCACACACGTTTCATGGAACTGGCCAAGCAATATGGTTCCCTATTCTCCACTCGTCTGGGCAGCCAACTGACAGTCGTGATGAGCGACTACAAAATGATACGTGAATGTTTCCGCCGTGAGGAGTTCACCGGACGTCCGGACACTCCCTTCATGCAGACACTCAATGGTTATGGTAAGTTTAAACTTAAGTTATATCACTAAAACTAAACTAAAGGGGGCGGGGAGAAACTGATAAGGCTTACATATTATTAACCACAAATTAGTTTTTACTACTCTGTTTACTACTACGTACGATTAGTACGTGAAACCTGGAAATATTTCCCTTAAAAACCGCTGCGAAAGCGAAAAGTTATCAAGCCATTTGCCGGACCCAAGTCCAGATTGTATATATATATATGTTATATATATATACCTTTATAGTACCTGAGATGTAGTGAGATTGTAAGGAAGGATTGTAATTAAGTTTAAAGTAAAGAAATTCCACTCGAATTTCTTTTCGCTCTTTTTGATTTTCGATTTTATTTTGATTGGCTTTTGCTTGCACTTTACTATATAGTATATATATATATATATATATATATATATTCCATACTGAATGATAAGGCATTGCGGCACTTTTTTGCCCTGCCGCAAAATCACGTTTTTAAAGTTTTTTTTTTCATTTTGTTTTTTGTGCATTTTTTTGCTGGGATTTCTTTTCTGGTATTTCTTTTTGACGAAGTAGGGCAACCTACCTCAATTAAATCTTCAAATTGCGACATAAAAAATTAAAAATAAAGATAAGAGCAAGTTGTAAAAAATACTCACATATATCTAAAGTCACCTTTCCTTTTTTTTTTTTTTTATATAATTTCCAGGCATTATCAACAGCACGGGCAAGTTGTGGAAGGATCAGCGGCGCTTTCTGCACGACAAGCTCCGGCAGTTTGGCATGACCTACATGGGCAACGGCAAGCAGCAGATGCAGAAACGCATTATGGTAAGTTCAGCAATAATCTTGACCAGCAGCAGCAGCATCCTCTTACCTTTGGCATTTTCCAATTTAAAAAAAAAAAACAGACGGAAGTTCATGAGTTCATTGGTCATTTGCATGCCAGCGATGGTCAGCCCGTTGACATGTCTCCGGTCATCTCGGTGGCTGTTAGCAATGTCATCTGCAGCCTAATGATGTCCACACGGTTCAGCATCGATGATCCCAAGTTCCGACGTTTCAATTTCCTTATCGAAGAGGGCATGAGGTTGTTCGGCGAGATCCATACCGTTGACTATATCCCTACGATGCAGTGCTTCCCCAGCATTTCCACGGCCAAGAATAAGATTGCCCAAAATCGTGCCGAGATGCAACGTTTCTACCAGGACGTGATCGATGATCACAAGCGTAGCTTTGATCCCAGCAATATCCGTGATCTGGTTGACTTCTATCTGTGCGAGATTGAGAAGGCCAAGGCCGAGGGCACAGATGCTGAGCTTTTTGATGGCAAGAATCATGGTAAGTTGAGTTTCTTTTTATTCACAAAATCCTTTAAGCTTCAGTCCTTTTGGAACACCACTCTGACCTTCATTTTCTTTTCCATTTTTTCTTCACCTTTTTTCAGAGGAACAACTTGTCCAAGTAATCATCGATCTGTTCTCCGCTGGCATGGAAACCATCAAGACCACCCTGCTGTGGATCAACGTATTCATGCTGCGTAATCCCAAGGAGATGCGTCGCGTCCAGGACGAACTAGATCAGGTTGTGGGACGTCATCGTCTGCCCACCATTGAGGATCTGCAATATCTGCCCATTACCGAGTCCACCATTCTGGAGTCAATGCGTCGTTCCAGCATCGTTCCCTTGGCCACCACACACTCGCCTACAAGGTAAGCATTCATAGAGATTGAGATTAGTTAGTTTCCGAGATGAAAGGAGTGGAGGGGCTGTTGGGGATGTGGAGAGCTAGAGGAGAAGCTATCAGCAGATGGAGTGCTTACGCACTGGACGTTTAGAGATCTACGCAAATGCCGCGAGGTCCGTTCATTCACACCAGATCTCGGCGATTGCCATTCATTGTCGTGGCTTTCCATTCAGCTGGCTCGTGCTCCTCATCCTCCTCCTCCTCCTCCTCATGCAATCCCTCCACCTCCCATCAAGCTCAAACGAGACCTCACCAGTGCGTGGCCCACTTTTGTTTCTGTAACCAGATTAGTGGCAGTGCGCAGTGGGCCCAGCCCCTGCCGTTTGCTGATAATCGTTGATGCACCGATCACCGAACTAATCACAATTTCCCCTTCCTGTCTTCCCCTCTCTCTCTCTCGTTCTTTAGGGATGTGGAACTCAATGGTTATACCATACCAGCTGGCTCACATGTCATCCCGCTGATCAATAGCGTCCACATGGATCCCAATCTATGGGAGAAACCCGAGGAGTTCCGGCCATCGCGATTCATTGATACCGAGGGCAAGGTTCGCAAGCCCGAGTACTTCATCCCCTTCGGTGTGGGCAGACGGATGTGTCTGGGTGATGTGCTGGCGCGAATGGAGCTCTTCCTGTTCTTCGCCTCCTTCATGCACTGCTTCGACATTGCCCTGCCCGAGGGTCAGCCACTGCCCAGTCTTAAGGGCAATGTAGGTGCCACCATCACGCCGGAGTCCTTCAAGGTCTGCCTAAAGCGACGACCACTGGCGCCCACGGCCGCTGATCCTCATCACATGCGCAATGTTGGCGCCAACTGATGTGTGGATCCGAAGAGTTCCGAGCTCCAGAGCACGGTTTTGTTCCTAAACAAATGACAAAAAAAAAAAAAGAAAATCAAACAAAAAAAATTAAGATGAAGTCTAGAAGATGGCGAGAGGCCAACTAGATTCTTGGCCTCTTGCCGAGCTATCCATTTAGCCATAAGTTAGTAGTTATCCGCCCGTGGGAGGAGCAGTTCCTGATCCCTTGGATCGTGGACAAGGAGCAGAGCAGCCAAAAGCTGTGACCAAACCTACACAGAGGACTGCAACCAATTCTATTCTTTCACCCCCAAGAAGCTGTGTTCAACTAATTCTAATAAGCTGTTAGTTCATAAACTTAGTTAGTAGACAATGTTCTATATTCTAATTGCTAATGTTAAATGTTTTTTATTATTATTAATTAATCTTATTTGAATATTATTAGTATTAATTATAGGATATTGCTATGTGTAAAGCCAGCAGGCTGTTTAAGTCTAGTTAGCTAACGTTCTTGTTTATTCATAGTATTAGTGCTAGCTTAATGTCCAAACAACAAAAAACAAAACAAAAAACAAAACAAAACAACAAACAACAAAACAAACTGTGGTTTAGTCTTACAAGCACACATCAAAAAATAGGCAAACGATTCGAAAATAAAGAGAATAAATTGTGAAAAAAATAAAAGAAAAATTGAGTTAAATTATTTAAGATTCTTGCGTTGAAGGTTTCCATTTCCCCAAAGTTGTTAATTTCCCTTCAAATGTCTTGAAAGATATTTTGGAATCTTGGAAGAAAAGTGTGATAAAAACTATCCTAAACTCTTTTTTAGAAAGGCGGTTTAAATCAGCAATAAATCTACAAAATGTTCTAAGAAAGTTATTGCTAAAAAAAACGTTTTAAGTAGCTTAACATTCCTGTTAAGAATATATATAAGTTTCTGTCTCGAAAACTTACATAAAGTGACGAATTTCAAACGAAATTTTCTACGAAAGGTATTGCTAAAAGAAATTATTTAAGTTACTTAACATCTCTTTTAAGAATATATTAATTTCTATCTTGAGTTGAGTTGAGTTCAGTTTTTGAGTTGATTTGCTTATATAAAGTGAGGAATTTCTGAAGTAGTTTTTCATATCAAATGACTTGAAAGATTTAGTCTGAGAAACTTCAAAGAAAGATAAGATGGAAAGTATCCTAAACTCTTTTAAGAAGGCGGATGAAATCATTAATAAATCTACAAAATTGTCTAAAAAAAAGTATTGCTAAAAAACCTTTTTAAGTTCTTTAACATTCCTTTTAAGAATTAGTTTCTGTCTCCGAAAAATTATGTTAAAAAACCTTTTTAAGTTTAACATTCCTTTTGAAAATATATTAGTTTCTGTCTCCAAAACTTACATAAAGTGAGGGAGGAATTTCTCAAGTTGCATTTCATATCAAATGGCTTGAAAGATAGCCATAGTCATAGGTCATAGCTCTGGGAAACTCTCATAAACACTCTTTTAAGAAGGCGGATGAAAAATCATACAATAAATCTACAACATTTTCTAAGAAAGGTATTGCTTGAAAACATTTTAAGTTGTTTAAGATTCCTTTAAAAAATATATTTCTGACTCGAAAATAACGATTTTTAGTCAATTTTCTTACATTAAGTAAGAAAACTTACATTTTTAAAGGACAGCCACTACTAATTTATTAATCAAACCAAGAAAAAACTTAAACTTAAAATCCATACACACTTTTTGACAATCTAAAATAGAAGAAACAAAACATAAAAACAAATTTATTTATTAATAAAAGAAAGTTTCTCTAAAGAAAACATTCCCCAAACTCAAATTTAGAACACCAAAAAAACCTTTAAATAGGTTACCACTCACAAAGGGTTATAAAAATAATATTAATAATATAAAAGTTTAAGATAAAATATAATAAAAATAGAAAAAAAAATGTTGTTAAGAAGTGAAAATAAATCAAACTACTCCTGCACCACCGAACCCTTCGGTTCCCTGCGCTGCTCCACCACCGACAGCTTAGTAAATCGCAACTTATGATAACCCGGAGTCAGGGTAATGCCGCTCTCACCCTCCATGTCCACATCACAGTCCTCTGGCACCTCCAGGTGGAAACGCCTCAAGATACGCCCCGCAAACAGGGTGAGTATCATGCGAGCCATCTCATCGCCCGGGCACATCCGCATGCCCGATGAGAAGGGGAAGAACTGAGGCGGTGCCGAGTACGAACCATCGGGAGCCAAGAAACGTTCCGGGCGGAACTCCTCGGGTTCCGGGAAGGCCTCTGGATCCATGTGGATAGCCCACTGTAGAGAAACAATCATGGAACCTTCCTTGATGTGATAATCACCAATGGTGATGTTCTCCCTGCATCCATGAGGAATTCCCAGCGGGACTACGCTGCGAATACGCATTGTCTCGGAAATACAAGCCCGTAGATAGGCCAGTGGTTCCAGTTCCTCCAAACTGGGTGCAGGACGCAGTGGCAGGAGAAGTTCATGTAGACGACGCTGGCAGCTTTGTTCGCGTGCCAAGTAGAGCAGGAACCATCTCAGGGTAGCCAATGAGGTGTCCACTCCGGCACCAAAGAGATCGGCAAGCAGATGACGCAGTTGGTCATCACAGTAGAGCTGTGAATCCGGATCCCGGCTTATAAGGAAGTGCTCCAGAATGCAACGCGGTTCGTAATTTTCTTCAATTTCCTCCTCGCCTCTCCTCTGAGGAGTCTCCTCCTCCTTTTTCTGTCCAGACTCTTCCTCCTGCTGGACATTTTCCTTATTCGCATTCACCTCTTCTTCTGCCTCCTTCAGCTTCTCCAGTTCCTGCCGTTTTTTCTCCTCTCTCACCTTTTGACGTTCCAGAAATAGCCTTTCCTGCTCCCTCAGCCCCTTTTCACATTCCCTGGTGATGCGGTCATAAATGGCATGAGTCTTGGCCTTGCCCTCCATTAGGAAACGGATGTTGCGCTTATTGCTAGGCAGATGACGCAGCCAGGGCAGAAAGTTCACTACCCCAGAGACACCAATTAGCTTGACGCCCTCTTCCTGCAACTTCTGCAGGTACAGCCAGTCGGGATCATCTCGCTTGTAAGTAACCCCAAAGACCAAATCGTTGATTATATTGCCCAGAGTGTGATGGAGAGCTGGTAGGGGATTAACTTCTGATCCGGAGCTCTTTTTAGCCTCATCCTCGAAAAGCTGCGGGGGATTAAAGAAAGGATTAATACTGATCCTTGATTTTTACTTCTTACAAAGTTTAGCTTATTTTTTCCAGTGTTGGACCCGCCGATTAGTATACGAAAACTTCCAAGAGAAGTCTCCAAAATTAATGCAAAATTTATGCAAAATTCGTTCTTTTTTTTCATAGCTGACCTAAGCGAAAAAAAAAAAGTGGAAGTGAAGTCACTTACCCGCACGCACTCGTTGACTCCCCGGCCGATGCGCTGCTCCAGCTTGGAACGCAGTTTACCCGGTCGCCGGGTCATGCCCAAGTCCTTGAGCCATTCTATAGTCTGACGTCGTGTATATCGCCAGATGTCAATCTGGGCGCAGATGATTCCTGTCCAGAAAGTAAGTTAGTTAAAGGTAAACCAAACCCAAGGACTCAAAAAAAAAACTTACCAAAACCACCCATGATACCATGAGTAAGATATAGGGGAGCCCTTTCTGTCAGCACATCGCGACGAAAGTAATCTCTGACCACCTTGGTATCCGACAGTACCACTGTCCTTACACTGCCCATTTTCAGCTCAAAGATGTTACCATATCGCTTGGCCAGAGCCTGTAGAGATTTGTGCGGAGCACGTGAACTCAAAAATGGCAAATAGCCAAGGAAGGGCACACCCCAAGGTCCCGGCGGTGAGACACCCAATACATTATCATACTGATGCTCGCAAAGATAGAGGATCACCAGGACGAGTATGCCCGGTATTAGCAGACCAATGAAAGTCTGCACCGAGGGCATCCAACCGGTGTACTCAACAGCATCAACGATGGACGACTCCGCCGACATCACTTTCGATTTCCGTTTGCTCTCACTTTTTAATCTTTAACCAGTCGCTGTCTTTGCCCGTTGCCCGTTGCCCGGTTGCCCGTTTGCTGTCTCCTTGGTCTTCTCCTGTTGTTAGAGGTGTTCTTCTTCTTCTTCTTCTTTTTATTCTTCTTCTTCTTGTTCTTCTTCTTCAATACACGGACGTCCCGACGTCCAGTCACCAGCAGAGCTCTGCGATTACTGGAATTTCTTTAGAATTTGAAACGAGTCTCTCGGACAGAAATGCAAACAGGGCAACGGCGAGCTGTCAACGTGTGTCTACGTCAGCAACGGGAACGGAGGAAGAGCGACCGCCGAAGGCCGTCCAGACAATGGTAACACATCGTCAGTATCAATATGCTGCCGCCAGGCTTTCATTCGGTTTTGGTTTTGGGTTTGGGTTTGAGTTTCGGTCTGGGTTTGGGTATCCGAGTCTTGGAAAGAAGGAGAGTGCGAAAGTAAAATTTGAAAATGAAATCATTTACGTTTACGGGATATTTATCATATGCACATTCATTACACCCTCAAACTGCTGGACAAGATCGTATCTGTTAGCTACTATACTATATACCTTTTACGACAACTCGGATATACCTGCTATAACTGCAATGAAAGGGTATCTAGTTGGCCTGCTGGCCCATCCTTGAGTACCTAAAACTTCAACGAAACGGCAATTTCCATTTCTATTTCTGCCACATTTGCACTTTTCCTTAATTTCGTGTCTGCTGAATTGGTTTTCCATTTGGGTTTACCTAAGCCACAGGCAGTCAGCCAGCCAGCAAAAGGAGGTCTATGGATGGGATTTTTCCTACCACACAGAGAGAAATAAACACTATAGAAGATGATATAAACAGATTATAACTCCTATGAACATCAAACAAACGATTGTTTTCTGTGGAGAGAAGACAAGCAAGGAGATTCTTGCTGGGGATTTCCAGCGGTTGCCTGAACCGTCTGAGTCATGTGTCCGTAGTGCCAGCAAAAATTTCTGGAAAGGAATGGCAATGTGGAAAAAGGAAGTGGAAAGGGCTCGCGAGGCTGGACAAACAAGTTCAGGGCCAATGGCATGCGCTAAAATAGATCCGCCGGGCATTGACTTTTTGCATCGAATGCGGCCTGTTGGACAAAGGAGCACAGAGAGAGGAGCACATCAAGATCTACGATCAGTGGGTTTGCCGCTTAAGCTTTAGGCTTTAGCCTTTAACTTGAAATTTACCTGTACATTTTAATGACCCCCGCCAGTGGCTGAGTTCTGGCTGCGTGCAGCGGTCGCCGAACCTTTCCATTGTCCAGACGACACATGGGTCCGGTCCACATATATCCACTCGGTATAACCAACAACCAACAGGGCACAGGCACAGGCAGCGACAATGTTCTTGAGTGGCAGCAGACGGTTCAACAGACGCCAAGATCATTGGCCCTGTCGGGGCAACATCCTATGGCAAAGGGAAAGGACATGAACCCAAAGCCGAGCGGATGCTGCCTGTCAACGCGGCCTGAATTATTTTTAAACCCTTTCGACTTCGTCGTCGTCTTGGCTAAAATGTTGTGTTAAAACGAAGGGAAAAAAACGTAAAGTCTTTAAAGTCTGGAAGATCAGCAAAGGGACTGGGAATGGTTTTTGGTTTTTTTTTTATTTCTTAGGTGATCATCCAGACAAGGTTGGGGTCAGCTAACTTTGGCGCTGATTAAGTTGATTGAAAGAGAAATTAGATTTCTTGAGCTGTTAAGGAACTTAATAAGAGATTAAACTATGCAGAACTTAGTTAGAAACTTCTAAGAAGGATATACCTTTTGCTGATCTGATCTATCGTATGATATCTATAAATTTTCTAGCGACTAACATAGTATCTGAGTTAAAAAGGGTTTACCTTTAGAGGGATAAACTCTTAAAAAAGATTGATTGGCTCCTTCTACTAGCTAACTGCTGGCTGAGTAACCAAAACCAGGGATAATGACAGAACTTAGTTAGGTAGATTTATCTAAAAAGGATATACCTATTGCTGATTTGATCTATTGTATGATATCCTTATCTTTTCTAGTCCCCAACATAGTTTCTAACTTAAGTAAGGTTCACCTTTAGAGGGATAAACTTTCAGAGAAGATCCATCGCCTCTTTCTTTTAGCTTACTGCTAACTTAGTAACCAAAACCAAGGATCATGACAAAACTTATGGTAGTCAGATAGAAGTTTGTAAAAAGGATATACCTCCTCTATAACTTTTCTAATCCCCAACATACTATCTAACTTAAGTAAGGTTTACCTTTAGAGGGATAAACTCTTAGACAAGATCCATCTCCTCTAACTTCTACCTAACTTCTGGGTTAGTAACCCAACCAAGGATCATGACTTCTACGTACCAGAAGCTCTCTCTCTTCCAAGAACTGTCTGCTATGGATCATTAGATGACCACCTCAACCCAGAGATAATAAAGCACAACGCATTTCTACACACACACGCACACACTCATGCTGATATAATGCGTCTAATCAGCGCATTGCGCACGAAATTTTCGGAGTGTGCTGGAACTGGAACTGGAAATCGAAACGAATCGGGGGCACCTCATGGCACCCAGCTCACGTGGCGTATTCGCGTTCTCTTATCAAAAGAAAGAGGGGCACAACACACAGAGGCACCGGGTTTCGTCAAGCGTTTTTATTACAGTTGCAACAGCATATTGATAGTGGGTATGGGTATGGGTATGGGTATGGGTATGGGAATGGGAATGGGAATGGGGATTGGTTACCATCTCTTCCCGCCTTAAGCCCTTTGTCCCTTTCGTATGACCGCACATCCGAACAGTTTACTCTTTGCACATCCCAATGTATGTATTTTTTTCGACGCCACCCACCCGCAACTCTGCTGCTGCTGCTGCTACTGCTGCTGCCGCTTCAGTGCTGGCAAAAAATGTGTCAAGGTAGTTTGCATGCTTTATTTTTTAACCCAATTCCAATGTTTATACACTCATCCAATATATGAGTGTGTGTGTGTGTGTGTGTTTGCTTTTATTGTTGTTGTTGTTGTTGTTGCTGTTGCTGCTGGCTGATTCTATGCGACGAGGCACGCGCCGCGAATGGAATGGTAATTAAAGCTCTCCCAGCTCCAAAATGTGCTGTGTCCAATGGTTTTTTGGCCACATTAATGGAGCATCTAGCATTTAGTGGCAAAGTCCAAGGTTGAGCTTCGCTCTAGAAACCAGAACCATAAGCCAGGCCCCCCTTCGTCTGCTCTTTCATAGAGTTGGTCAGCATTTAGCTTCGAGTATAGCCACCTCAGCAATATAGGCTAGAGAATCATAGAGCCAGTGCATCTGACAGTCGTCGGCAGACATCATATAATAACCATAGCGGAATGCGCCGACGTTTCGGTTAAATCAAGGCGATCCCCGCGCCCGGCTAAGAAAGACACCCGAGTCAAGTCAGCTGTGGTCATTCGATCTATCTCTTTAGAGCGGTTAGCTGGTGCAGGGCATCTCCCAAAGAAACTGCCACTTCAGCAATTAGTGGCTTTGTTTTCTGTGATTTCTCTATGTGTGTGTGTGTGTTTTTGTTTCTACTTTTTGTGGCACTCGAAGTTTGCACTACGGACGTAGTATGTGATTGGCGTACAAAAATCGAATACGAATTTTACAGATACCTTGACATCTTTCATAGGCCAAGCCAGCGTTCGTTTAACCCATCCAATCGATGGCTATCGCTACAGCGACTACGTCGGCAGCCACCACCCAAAGAACGTGCCAGTAGATTCCAGTGACTACATTCTATCGGATCTTAGAACAGCCTCAGTTTGCCACTGCCACTGGCGTTGGCAATAAAATTAAAAGAATTTACATTCGGTCACATTTTCATTTCATTCTCGGTTTCAATGGCCGCAGTTTGCACACTTCTGATTCGGATTCTGATTCTGTTACTGATTCTGATTCTGATTAAGTTTCGAATCCGGACTTAGAACCAGAGGGGGCAGCCAGAACCAGAGCTTGAAGCCGGACCAGATATTAGTCCACCAATTAAAAGCTGACCAGATAAATAATTCCTGCCATAAATAATTATTCATTGAAGGGGGTTTAATGGTTACATTTTAATTACACAAAGAAAAAATGTGTTTTCCTTCTCGGAGATTTTAAGAATTTTAACTATGATGGTCTTGTTTATGATATTTACTTTACTGATTTTTGATATTGTAAGCTTTTTTGGGTTTAAAAACAATGTTAAGTTAAGATTAAAACTGTAATTTGAAGTTGGAATAACTTGAAGTTGCGCTTTTGGGACATTAGCAAGTCTTAGAGTCAGTTTAAGAGTGTTTTTACCCCAAGAGACTAGTGGATTGATATCCGTTTTCTGTACTATATCTAAGATATATATCCTAAGTTTATTAAATCATAATCATTTAGGGCTAATTATCCTTTTTAGGGCTAGTATCTATGTTGATTCTTCATTAACAGAGAGCATATCAATAGTAAATAGTAAGATATTTGTAGGATTTAAGTTTGCACTTTTTCTGTGTTGGCTTAACAAGACTAAAGCTTCATCATTATTTCTTACAAAATACTTAAATATTTTTATTAAATCTTAAAAACAAATGTTTGAGTATAAAGTTAAATAAAGTATCTTAATAAACGATTATGTTCTGAATAAGCAATCTGTTAAAGGTTTCTTAAAGAGCGACTTCCCTGTATGTTGATTTCTAAGAAAGATCTTTTCACTATGAAAGTTGGAACTTTATGACTCTGGACTTGACTATCTACAAAAACTAAGTAAAAAGTATCAACTTTGTTCATTGTAATCTATCTAGACCACCAGCTCTTGCTAAATTAATGATTAAACTTAAACCAAAATGCCCTTCTAAAGACCAAAAACAAGAAGTTCTTCTTTCACCCTTTGTATCTCAAAAGTAAAGAGCATCTAGAATTCGTTTTCATAAAGAAAAACCATCTTCTAGCTATAGCAAAAAATTAGCATATTACTTATGAGAAGCAAAGTTCTGTTCTTGTCTGTCCGATCTGAGCCGATCCAATCGAATCGGATCCAAGCCGATCCAAACCAAGCCAAGCCGCCAAGCCAAGTCGAGCTGCAGCAGTAAGAGTGACTGCAGCAGTTCAATGGCTTTTGAGCCATTTTGAGGTCAATGCACCGGAGCTGGGCTGATGGTGGTGGCAGAGTAGAGTACAACGCCAGCAGTGGGCTGCTGGGGTGGCGGCGGGTGGCCAAAGATCGGACCGATACAGCCCGAAAAAACCTTGCGCATGAACGGATCCATGGACATGGACACAGAGCAAACTCACCCGAGTTGTCCAGTTTCAGCCTGTCTGGCGGGGAAGCTGGCGGATATGTGATAGTATATCTGTATCTGTATCTGTATCTGTATCTGTAAATGTATCTGTATATGTATCTGTATCTGTATCTTTAATTGCATTTATATCTTGAACTGCATTTGT